GAAAATCAATTAAATAAAGAAGGCAGAACCAAATTGACGATTAGGTTTGAGACTTCAATTTGTAGGTGTGATTCAACACAAAGGGGCTCTAAAAGACGTTTGCAGTGTTTGCAGCACAAGATGTCCTCGAAAGTGAACAAAAACTCGAATTTCATTCACAAATGATCTTCTGAGCCACCTTTAGTTTTTCCATAGGGTTTCCGTGCGCCATTGTGACCTTTAAACCGCACGAAAAAACACAAAGGACAACCTACAAAAAAACAAATGGGGCTTAGTTTAAATTCAAATTGCGTCTGATTAAAATTTCTAATCAACCTTTGTCAAAATTGGAATTGTTATGTCTGATTTTAAATGAGATTGGTAGAAAAACAATTACGCCTACAAAGAAAGGTTCTAATTGATTAAAAAGCGTCATTTTAATTATCCGCTTTTTGGTAGAATTGTCACCCCTATAATGCCATCCCCTAGAACCTAGTATATTGTACCTAGTAACGAATCTCCCCCCTTGCACACGAGTAAGAATTAGTTAGAGACCCCAGCTTATTGTTAATTTGGTCCAACTTGATTGCTTTTTCTGAAAAAATTGACAATTAACGAGACAATTTACCGGACAATTACAACTCTGTCCTATTAACCCGGGTTGACCTCCATAGACCGAAAATGCTAATCATACAATTTCATACACTTAGTCTATGGAAAAATGCTGGTCATACAAATTTCATACATTTTTGCAAAATGAATTTAATCGAATTTCAAAGGTGTTTTATAGTTGTTTTGGTATCGAAATTGGTATCTTTTCATAAAAAAAAGGAAAAAAATGGTATGAAAAAAATGCTACCCATACAATTTCCATATATGGAAATTGTATGATTAAAATTTTTTTTTAAATTTTTTTTTTGTGAAAAAAAAGCTTTGAACAATCAATTCTACTGCTTGCAAAACATTTAAACGTTTTTTGGGCTGCTACGACTGAAAACTTTGACTTTTTTTATTTTTTTTTCTGAAAAAAAACACTAGTCATACAATATCCATATATGGAAATTGTATGTCTAGCATTTTTTTTGATGGCGACGACAAAAATTTTTCTGAGTATTTTTGAAATTGCCCCCAAAAATTGTTTGTATTTTTTTCCAACTGCAAATTGATTTTCGGATTAAACAAGCATACTAATATTGAATTTTTTTTTCTCTTCGTAACTTTTTTCAAAAACGCTTAACACTCCTCTTTCTTTTGTATGACATGTTTTGTATGCCTTGATAAATGTCTGGTAATTTAAACATTCAAATTTTAGAAATAATCATCTTTGAAAATTATTGCCAAAATTTAAAAGTTCACTACCTTCTCTATGTTAATTGTCTGAGACAGAAGTAAGACATATCAGGCTGTTTCCGATGCATTGTTAAAGCGAGACGGCCAAACCGTTGGTTACTAACTACGTTTGAGTAATCAAGGTTTATGTCATTTGTGTTCGGTTACGAACACAGCCAAAAAATTTTGAGAAATTAAAATGTACAAAATCAATATTTTTGGTTTATGGAAAAATGCTAGTTATACAATTTCCATATATGAAAAAAATACTAATCATAGACCTTTCATGCAATTTTCTGTACGTATGGAATTGCATGGAAAGTGTATGACTAGCATTTTTCCATATATGGAAATTGCATGACTAGTATTTTTGGTCATCCCGGGAAGTGGTAAATGGCAAGTTTTATTAGTCTGAATGAGGGCAAACACTGTGATTTGCGCAAACACATAAATAACGTACCAAACCCTAATTACATGAGAGTAAATTTTACATAGCGATTGGAGGCGACGGAATTTTCAAAACATAAGAAAAATTGTTCAATTTTTCGTTGATGGTTTTTTGACGGGCAGTTGAATTATTCAGTGTTTTGCCCTTGGCTCAGGCAATCTTGTTTAATTGAATAATCAACAAAAATTGAGGATGTTTTAAAAAGAATTGACGAATTGAAAAAAATGAAATAAAATAGATTGTGCAACTAATTAATATGCAACTACAATCATCAACAAGGACCAAAATAATAGGTGATTTTTTCACCAAAAAGGAGCTGATATAGGTGAGTTTACCAAAATAGGTACAAAAATGAATTAAATCAAACGCAGAAACAACAATTTTTGCATAGGTTCTAAACAAACGTCCCATTTCTGTTGGCATAAGAGAAATGAACAAAAACGTTGATTGTCGGTTTTTTTTCAAGCACTTCCTGGAGCTTGTTTTGGGCTTCCTTGACGAATATTGCTTCTTCGTAGTCTTTCAACAAAAGAAATTGCTATGCTAGTGTGATACTATAGGCCTGTTGTTTTACTTGAATTTCGATGACTTTCTTCTCAAGCGATAAGAACAGCGATAGAGCTTCATCGGGTTTTTTGGAAAGATTTCTCGACTTCTTCCAGAATAATTTCATCAGTTCTAGCTTTTGAACCCCTTGATAGATGACTTCCCAGTTCCTAGAAAGAAAAGTACCACATCTCACGCAAGCTCTCCAGCGAGTGATAATTGGCCATGGTCAAAAAGTTACCGGAAAAATTGATCTTCTGCCGGCAAACTTTGCGAGGGCCGTTTTTAGAGTGACAATACAGTCGTGAACCAAATGGTTACTTATCCAAACGTGTTCTACAAACAAGAGCATCGCGTGGCTAACGCAAGTTAAATGAAGTAAGTTTGGAAAAGTTTGTGACAAAACTTTTCCAGCTTTCACACAGTAAGCTGCAACTCACCGTCAGTGAAAAAAAAATTGTAAAAAATCTTGAGCTGAATCAAACATTCTAAACATAGTTTTCATTAGGAGCTGAGCACCTTTCTCTCCGTCATATTTTTTGACATTCTCTAGTGAAAGAAGATAAAGTTTAGCTGGAGAAACAACAGCTCGAACCAGAAGTGCAGCCGCGTTTCCGTAAATTCTGCTTTTGGTTTTATCAAAAATAACGTATAACTTTTTGCCCTGCGACTTCGAAATCTTTTTTTTTCTTGAGAAACAACAATTTGTCAATAGTTCTTCCTTTAAATACTTTCAAAAGTTAAAGTATAACCCAACTCTTCTTTCAAAATTCTTCTTAAAATTTATTGGTGCAATTTGGAAAAAGGCGCTTTGCATTCACTTCGGCTAAAATTTTTGCCCATTCTTAGAACAATTGTCGCTCAGAAAACTAACAGTCGTCTGCGTTCTGCTTGCTGCAAAAGCTCGTTTTAGACATAAATGCTGCCTGACTTGAGATTTTTTTTTCTCGTGTGAAACTTCTCGTTACATATGTTGCAAAAAACAACCGTTTACGACCGTTAAGTGCTAATTTTCACTGCAATTTTTTCGGAGCTGGTCTTTAGGAAGCATCTTGAAACATAAAAAAAATCGCAACACAGAAAAACCACATGTGGCAGAAAAACACTCCGTTTCAAATTAAAGGTTTTGCTTGAGTTTTAGCATGAATTAGATGAAAAAAGTGAATTTTGGTGAAAATTTTTTATGCCGGTCCTTGATCATCAGCATCAATCATAAACATTTTCAATTTGAGTTTTTAGAAGAGTTTCTAATTGTACAATGTTTAGTGCATCAAGCTTATTCATTGCAAGTGTTCTCGCAGCAATGGGAACCCTTGCGATTTTTTTATTTTAGCAATTTTTGGATTTATTAGCTGGAACAATTATATCTTAGTTCCACTTCATCACAAATCTGTTTTGCAGATTTGTGATAGATGCGATTTTAAAAAGTGTTTTTCTGCTTTTTAATCACCTTTTTATGTTATATTTTTATTCCAAAAGTAAATATTAGAGCGTTAAAATCAAATGTTAGAAAATTTATCAAAATCCTTCGAGTTTTTTTTAGTGAAGGGGGTATCTAAAGGCATGAGCATCTGAAAACTTGCAATAAAATTTTCAGTTAGGGCTCAAACTTACGTTGAACCAACATGCATTTTCTGTAGCTTTGAATGAGAAATGGCTTCCAGTAATTGTTCCGACTTTCGAAGAGAGTGGCGAATCCATGAAATCTGTTTGCTTGGGGTGTTTTTAGTCAGGTTAAATTTACAAAAAAAAATGATTGCATATGAGAAGCGATTCTGAAAGTTTCAGATTACCGAAGGAGTATGCTTGCACCTAGTCTGAATGCGCTTGAAAATGCTCTATTAAATGATTATGGTTTTAACTCTTGAATTAATAAAGCGAGTTCCAAACTGAAGTGAGGCTAACGATTTGGTCATTTTAATTCGACTCAAATTTTAGCCCTATATATTTTATATTGGCAGTCCTAAAATTGTAAAATTGTATTTCATCAAAAAATTTTTGAACAATTTTGTACCAGACCCGCTAAGGTGCAGTCGGAACATTCAGGACTTTGTCCTGATATACAAGCAGTCTTGTTTACTTTTCAGCCCAAGGTACACAAAGTAGTTCATAGTTTAGCGGCAGTATTTTTGACCGGTAAAGGAGAGGGAGCGGGCTTTTGAAATTTTTGTTCGATTAGTTTACGCCGAAAGATTGAAACACTACACGATATGCCAATAAGTTAGACTAGCTGCTAATGGCAAAAGTTTCGGGACCGCAGAGCTTTTATTTTTTTGATAAAACGTCATTTTTAACCATTTGTTGACAAAAGATTTTCAATAAAGTGTTTTTTTTTTTTGGCGCGTGCTGCCCTTGAAGATTATATATGGGTGCACAGGCAGCTTCAGAGATTTTAAGAGGTAGTTTGCCAGAATTGGCTGTCGTAAAATAGCACCAATGGGCTGACCTTTGAGAAATTTTGAAAATTTGACTACAATTGAGAGGAGAGGGTGATCCTTGAGACGCTACTGTTCAACGGTAATATTTAAATAGAAATACTGATCGAATTATGTTGGATCAAATGAAATGGAATGTATTTTAACTTTAATTTTGATTGGAAACTAAAACTAATCTGCATTCAACCAGCGCAGACTGTTTCGACCACATAATCAAAACAACTTGAAAAAGTTTGGTCGAAAAAACTTGAAAAACATTTTAGTAAGTGGCCGAGTGTACGTGTACAACAAACTGACCAAAGCCACCAGATGGCTCAAGACGAAAGACGGAGGGGAAGTTCCGAGCAACACGGCTCTCAATCCGAGTCATATCGACGACCCCAACCCCATGGCCGCTGACAGTGGAGGGGAGCAAGTGGTCAGGACTGCTACGCTTGCTAATGAGGGGGCTTCTCAAGGTATAATGCAATTTCGTGGTTCTTGAATGAGTACGTTGGGGGGGGGGGGGGGGGGGTCTTGAATAAGTACGTGGGGGAAGGGGGGGAGGGGAAGGGTGGGGGGTTTATTTGTACCCTAGAGAATAATAGGCTATCTAATGGAATTTAGTCGCATGTGACAACTTTCAAAACGTCTAAAACAAAAGTGAAGAAAAAAAAAGTTTTCTGTGTCAAATTAAAACTATGCCGAGTTTTGATATGGTCTCTTATACTCCTCTTTCCGTCCTCGCATCACACGTCTCAAAAATATTGAACCCCCGTCCCCTAGTGTCGTTTGTTCACGTCCGGTTGTAATGAAGTTTTGCATTTGGACTAATTAAAAATGCATATTCAAACATAATTGATCTGCAAGTACTGCCACGAAAATCATTATACTGGTTACGCCACAAAAATGATGTGTATATAATAAAGGGGAGAGGCAATTCGTGGGGGGGCTTTGAAGAGGAGGCATTTGGGAGTGGTTGATTTGGGAGAGGGCTTTTGGAGAGGGGAGGGGGAATTTTTTAGTAATGCACTATTATGAACTTTAGGTGCTGCAGCGTCGGTGGGTGCATTCCGACCGCGTAGAGCGAGACCAGCTCCAATCGAAGAGCAGGAAGAAGAGGAGGAGTGAACTGACTCACGACTCACGGAGACTCACGACTCACGGAGACTCGCGACTCACGGGGACTCACGACTCACGGGGACTCAAGAGTACTCCACTGACTTACAAATACATGGATGACTAATCATGCAAACAATTGACTAATTGACCCATAAACAAATAGGGCTCCGTTGACTCATTTATGACTCGTATGGCTCATAACTAGTTTATGACTCATAACTAGACGCAACTCCAGCTTTTTTTACTTTGATTTGACTATAGTTTAGTTTCGACTGAACGGAAAGACAGCTTGCTGAATTCTACAAAACCTTGAAAAAAGCCTTGCTTGCTTAACAACATTTGAAGATGAGTCATGATCCAACGGGTACGACCAAAAAATCACAAACTAACATAGATTCTGATGAATATGAAACTTTACGACTCCTTGACAAGCGGTAACTTTGACATGAAATTTATCAGCATTGTTGGTGTAAATCAGTTAAAATTACGGATACTATTCACTTTAAATAGTTTTCCATGATAAAATAACCACTTCTGACTGACTGCTCGCAAAAGAATTGAAATATTAACTTGCACGAGCTATTCGACAGTGTCTTCTAGATTTCAGTTTTCTTTTATTGCATTGTCATGTCAAGTTGTAGCGGATTTGGGGGGAGGGGGTATGCTTTTTTTTCGAGGAGGTTCGACCCCCTTTTGTATTGTTATACGACATCTAGTTTTAGCTATTTGACCTCAAAAAATTTTTAAAGCGAATGTTTGAAAGGGGAGCGCGCGTCAAAAAAAAGCACAATTTTTTTTTGTTCAAATTGTTTCAAAAACAAACAAAAATAGGCGTTTATGCCTATTATTATAAAAGTTTGCCTGCGGCGCTCAATTAGTTTTTTTTCGCAGAATAGGGTCTTGTTTTATTAGAAGCACTGAAAATCAAATTGGTCAAACTGAAAAAAGTCGACGTTTTTTGAAAACTTTAAATTACAAAATTCGATTTTAAAAAAAACCCTCGAAAAGCTCCTCGGACTGCCACTGATGCCAAGTGAACATAGTCACCAATCCACAAATGAATACTTGGGCATTGTCACCATTTTCGCTGAAAAACTTAATTCTTCTCTGGTAGCAATATATAAAAAAAGACTGCTCCCATCACAACAAAGCCCTGAATGTTCCGACTGCCCTTTAATTGGTCTAGAATAGTTTTTGCTGTACGAAGTATTGGTAAACTAGGAACTTTTGGTTAATTTTGTGTATTGAACTCATAAGACCAATTAGCTTGCCTCAATTAAATTTGGATTGATTTTGAGTGCGGATATTTTGCCACGCATAAAAAGTTCGTGTATACTATTGAAAGTATCAAACAATCATTCAAGCAGCAAAGCCAACCAAACTTAAATTTATTGCAACCGATACTCGCTTGACAATCGCGAGATTGCGGGGTCGATACCCATACGCAGTCAATTTCTGTTCAATCGATCTGAATAAAGAAACCACCCGGTCATATATATTCCTCATCTTTTTCAAAAATCGGAAAAAAAAGAGACAAAAAAGCTCGTGTCAGGGCGAAACTCTGATTGTCCCTACTGCTTTTTGTTTTCTATGGAGTAATTTAAAATAATTAATGAAATTTTCAAAAAACTGAAAAAAAATCATCCATCCACATATTATGTAAGGTACAAAGTGATATATTTTGTTACAGCAAAGTATTACCCCAGAACATGCCTCATTATATTTGGAGCTATTTCTAATACGGATTAAATCTCCACTTACGCGTTAATAGCTCGAAATATGTTGCGCGTTAATTGTCCTATATTGGTCAAATTGGCAATCTTTAAGCCGCCATATTTTTTGGCAGGTGAAACACCTTTGTAACTTTGAACTCAAAACAACAATAACTTTCAAATGTTATGAAAAAGTTTCGTCGGAAAATGCTAGTTAAAAATTCGAAGTTTGTTTGGAGAAAAAACACCCCGAGCACAAATTTCAGTCAGCTTCTTCGAAAGTCGGAACAACATGTATCATTATGCTTTTCTTTTTCCTATGTCGAAATATCCATAAACTTGAGCACAGGTGCCAATTTAACAGAGCGGATTCAATGTCTTCGTTCATCATTTCTGATAACCAAACAGCTTTGTCAATTTTCATTAGTTTTGGCCAAAAAAACAGGTAATTGGTAACCTGCCATCTAAAATTACCTGGATTTTTCGAGGGCCAAAAACAGCGGGTTTGTTAAAAGCGGATTTAGAAAGTGCGATCGTAGACTTTTACTCAGGAATTGAACAGCGTGACCTCTCAAAAGGTACTATTTGGTAAAATTTTGCGGCATCCATTTAGAACTTAATTCTTATACTAAGTTTGAACGGGAAGTGCGCTGGGGAGCACACTGCATTTTTGTCGTCATCTGCTAAAAACGCCCTGCAACGTCTTTTTCGGAATTTTTTTCAAACAATTCTTTGCAACGAGGAATAATAGGATACAAACTTTTTCTTATAGTGCTGTGGAAGAGCTTGGAAAATGTGTTTGTTCGACCTACAAAAAGGTCGTAAACAAGATAAAAAAACTCAGAACTCTTATAAGTTTCACTCCCCTCTCCCCTCTCCTACTTGATGTTTAGTATGGAATCTTCAACAAAAAATAAAAATATCCGTTGATAAAGTTCATTCGAATGTCTAAAATGTCCAAACCCTCAGCTTTTTTCGAAATTATTTTCCCTCTGAGGGTCGTTCAAAAATTCATGCACTTAAATCTGTGTTCAATTTCCTTTAAATCTTGAACTTATACCGTATATTTTATCTCTCCGTTATCAAAATTACCCTGAAGTTGAATTTATGAGTGAGTGTGTGATAAACAGGGTTTAGTAGGGCAACTCCAACTGATTAAATTGATCTTAGTGACTAAACAGCCCGCAGAAAAATAATTTCTGTTACCAAACATCAAAGAAAACATCGAATGAAACTTGTGCCAAAAATAAAACCTGAAGATTTCTAGCTAAAACGTCCGGGAGACAAACCGGAATACAAAAAACTGACCATTCTATGTAAAACGAAAATCATGGAAACGGAAGCATTATAGAAACAAATAAAAACAGTTCGTTTTCCTCTTAAGTAATTCAATTGAAAGATTACTTTCTTTAGTGAAACAAATTTCTCGCTAAGCAAACTCGGCAGTCTGTCGTTAGCTTCTTCGAAAGTCGGAACAACATGTATCATTATGCTTTTCTTTTTCCTATGTCGAAATATCCATAAACTTGAGCATAGGTGCCAATTTGACAGAGCGGATTCAATGTCTTCGTTCATCATTTCTGATAACCAAACAGCTTTGTCAATTTCATTAGTTTTGGCAAAAAAAACAGGTAATTGGTAACCTGCCATCTAAAATTACCTGGATTTTTCGAGGGCCAAAAACAGCGGGTTTGTTAAAAGCGGATTTAGAAAGTGCGATCGTAGATTTTTACTCAGGAATTGAACAGCGTGACCTCTCAAAAGGTACTATTTGGTAAAATTTTGCGGCATCCATTTAGAACTTAATTCATATACTAAGTTTGAACGGGAAGTGCGCTGGGGAGCACACTGCATTTTTGTCGTCATCTGCTAAAAACGCCCTGCAACGTCTTTTTCGGAATTTTTTTCAAACAATTCTTTGCAACGAGGAATAATAGGATACAAACTTTTTCTTATAGTGCTGTGGAAGAGCTTGGAAAATGTGTTTGTTCGACGTACAAAAAGGTCGTAAACATGATAAAAAAACTCAGAACTCTTATCAGTTTCACTCCCCTCTCCCCTCTCCTACTTGATGTTTAGTATGGAATCTTCAACAACAATTAAAAATATCCGTTGATAAAGTTCATTCGAATGTCCAAAATGTCCAAACCCTCAACTTTTTGGAAATTATTTTCCCTCTGAGGGTCGTTCAAAATTTCATGCACTTAAATCTGTGTTCAATTTCCTTTAAACCTTGAACTTATACCGTATAATTTATCTCTCCGTTATCAAAATTACCCTGAAGTTGAATTTATGAGTGAGTGTGTGATAAACAGGGTTTAGTAGGGCGACTGCAACTGATTAAATTGATCTTAGTGAATAAACAGCCCGCAGAAAAATAATTTTTGTTACCAAACATCAAAGAAAACATCAAACGAAACTTGTGCCAAAAATAAAACCTGAAGATTGCTAGCTAAAACGTCCGGGAAACAATCCGGCAAACAAAAACTGACCATTCTATGTAAAACGAAAATCATGGAAACTGAAGTGTTTAGAAACAAATAAAAACAATTAATTTTTTTCTTCTTAAGTAATTCAAATGATAGATTACTTTCTTTAGTGAAACAAATTTCTCACTAAGCAAACTCGGCAGTCTGTCGTTAACAGCGTCGTCTTTTTGTCGCACAAAATTCATTAAAAAAGTTTAAAAAATACCAATATTATTTACTTCAAATTGATCGCTTATTGTTCTGCGAAAGTCAAATTATTTTTTGGGGCCTAATTCGCCAGGGATGTAAATTTTCAAACGGTACTTCTCAAAAAAACAACTTAAGAACATCACAAAAAATATCGGGACATAATTATGTACTGAATTTTTTTTCATCCTCATAATTAAAGACACAAATTGAACCAACTATAATTTTTCGGAGCATGTTTAGATTAATTTTTGATATTTTCGGTGTCCTGCGCGAGCAAAAGAGGGCTTCTGAATGAGTTTAAATGGGAAAACACTTCAATAGACGGTTTGGTCGCTCAATCATGCAATCTCCTCTCACAAATCAATTTACAATACAGTTCATTCAACGGGTTTAAAATCTAGTTGATATTAACTTGACTTAACACTCGATGGTATTTGTTGTTTAATTCGTATGAGTTTGAGACTTGCGTTTGCGTCATATAAATAACAAGACTGTGTAAATTAGGGCGAAGCCTTGAATGTTCTAAGTTCCCCTTGTAGGACTGTGGGTTAGTAATCGTTAACAAAACACTGATGGAAATTTCAAAGAACAAGGAGAAAAATAAGAGATTTTTGTTAGTTTTTTTTTTAAATTCGTCCCCAAACATGCTATCTAAACTACAAAGTGATATAATTTCCGAATGGCAAAGTATCACACAAAGTATTAAATATAGCAAATATCATGCCTCAATTGAAAGATTTATGAGACGGATTAAATTTCCGAGAAATAGATTGCGCCAAATCGGCAATCTGTAAGCCCTATAACGTTACGAAAAAGATCACCGGTGAAATATTTCGTGAGATAGATAAAATGTAAAGTTAGCAATTATGACAAAACGCCTGCTTCAACCAATTTGGATCAATTTCTAAGACGGAATAAATCGCCGCTTACGCGCGCTATTTGTCCCAATTGGCCTAACTGGCAATCTTTAAACTCCCATTACTTTGCGAAAATTGATCACATGTGAAACATTTTTTAAAATTTGAGCTCAAGACAACAATGCCTGTCAATTGACATAAAAATTTTTAGCAAAAAAGGCTTGTCAAAAGTCAAAACTTGTCTGGAGAAAAAAAACTATTCTTAGAGCAGCGTTTTTGCCGTTTTCTTTACTCGGATAAAACTTTTTATCAAAAATGGTCCACTTTC